TTGAAAACAACGAGCGAGAAACCAAATCAATAAATAATCATAAATCACATGTATTAAAGCAATCTAAAGATACTGACGCCTTAAATAAAAGATCCATTGCACAATTAAACTTAGCAGGTAACCAAGATGCCGTACCTGAAGAGAATTGTGAAAAGGCATGTGTGCGCAGTGTTGAAATTATAAAAGTGCATCATGAATCCAAGGTTCCTACAGCCGTTGCGGATATTTTGCACAGAACGCCCGAATTTCTAGAAGAGGACGCTGAGCAATTTGAGTCGCAAAGTTTTGAAGACTTATCTAATGAGTGTAACCAAAATCTGGATAGAGATGATGGAATTATTATTCTACAAGATAAAGAAAATAGCGAAAGCAGTTTAACTGACAATAAAACCGAAAACCTTGTCAACTGTTCTAATCTAATAACAGAGGTGGATTACTTTGACAACCTCTTTGATAGTGTTTTCGAGGTAGTTTTGCCTACAACGCTGTGGGGAGTTCATCGCTCTCCACACCAAAAACGGATAATGTTCGTATGTATAGATGAGGAACAACTAAATATACAGAAAATGTTGGTCGTGGATGATTCAGGCGACCTAAAAATGTATTTAGTGAGCAGGCTGATCCGCGAAGAGCATTGGCCATTTGATATTTTAACTCCAGAGCGTATATCAGATATGCTCGCAGAGTTGGAGGCAATGCAAATATGTCTCGGGGCAAATTTGTCTGAAACTTGTGAAGTTCTGCTTACAGATGTTAATAGCGATGAGCAAATAACGCAAAGACTATGCAAAAAGTGCTGTTAAAAGTGTATTTATAATTTTTAAAATCGCTAAAAGACATAAAAATATGTTTTTTATTTTTCAGTTATAGTTAACAAATATAGTAATAACATAAATACATGTAAAATACAAATTTTATGCAAGAATAAACTTAAGTTATTCTTATTAAAACTTCCCAACAACTTTATTACTTTACTCTGGTATTTTTAAAGAGGCGAATTCAGTACTTAGTTTCTTCATAACATCAGCATGTTTGAGATCGGGGCGTTTATATAGTTTATAATTGTCCTTGACAAACTTAGCAAAACCCGTTGGCTCGCGAACTGGTGTGGGCAAAATATTGCCATCTTTATCCTTTTTATTTAAAAATATCTCAATGGCGCCATGGCAAAAAGAGCACCTTATATTTTCTACTTTCTTCGATTTTGAGTGAGCGTGCGATCTGTGAGAAAAAGTTTTGCTTATATTATCAAGAAATATCTTATTATATATATATACATACTTTGCGCCGCATAAGGTGCATTTGTAAGTGTATTTATATTCGATATCATACTGATGGCACACACCGATCTTCGGAATTTCTGGGAAAACCTGGTTAGCTCTCAATGCCCTGAAAAAGAAATGTCTATGTTATTATCGTTTCTAGAAGGTAAAAAAAAATATTTTTATGTGTATGTATATTTGTAACATTATTTAAATTGGAATTCATATCCGTTGATTTTTATTTTTTTAATAAATAGTAAATAGTAAATGAAAAACTATACTATATAATACCATTGCTTCCAAGTACTGCCATGACCGCCTTCCCCATTAAATATCCAAGTAGCAGCATGACACAACTCATGCTGTCTCTTATACACATCTAGATGTGTATAAGAGACAGGTGCCCATTCTACAATAGATAAAAAAAATTATATATATATAATAAAGAATTATATATATGCATATATTAGATTACTACATACTTTTTCTTATTTAAACACCTTCCAGCTGTATTGCACAGTTTCTTATTCCATTGAAGTGGCACTTCTAGTTTATTTTGAAATAATTTCTCATTATAGAGTTCGTAGAGCAAATTTGCCAGTTCTTCCTTCTTTGTACGATAATTCTCGCGGTAAAATAGCGCTTTTGGATCACAAAGAGATTTGGCCACACATACTAAAAATGTATCTAAAATTATATTTTTCTACAAAAATATTTAAATATTTACCATCAAGGGATTTAAGAAAGCCGTATTTGTTTTTAAGTGTAGGGAACATTTGTTCTGAAATCTTATTTCTCTCCCTCAATATTTTTGAAGGTTTCGTTTGATTAGGAGAGTCTAAATTCATTTAAAAAAAATATAAATCTTATAAAATTAAATATTTTATAGAATTACCAGTTGACTTTTCTGGAGTCATATTGAAAACAGGACTTCCGCGTTTTATTGCTTCCAAATGTTTATTAAATATTTCAAAGTTTTCTAGACCATCTCTTATATTTACTCGTTCCATATCGTGTGAAAGTATTTCCTCATCAGTTGTTGGAACACGTCTAACAGGAGTTCGCGGTTGGACCCCGTCCACGCCAATGGTTAAGTCAACATCTTCTTCTCCAAAATTTGCAGTGAATAACTTTCGTTTTGATTTTCCACCAGTCGTTGGAGTGGCTGCTATTTTTGCCCTGTCGGTCGCTTTGCAAGTCCTCAAAATATTTTGCAAATGGGTATTAAAATTCGCATCTTAAGCCGCAAATATTCACAGAAAATAAAAAATTTCAATTTTTATAATTATAATGTTAAGTTATATTACCATTATTTGCCAATGGAGAATTTGTTTCACCTTCTTGTATGGTTACTTCATCTTTAGATAAATCTAAGTAAATTATATCATCTTTTTTCTTCGTTTTCACACGACGAGATATTGTAGAATCACTCGCATCTTTAGTTTTAGTTGACTTCTTACTTTGTTCTTTTGTAGCGTTTCCTTTGGAGCCTTTTTTGGGTTGTGAGATTTCATAGTCACTGTCATCGCTTTGATCAGACGGTGGGCTCCATTCATCAGATTTATTCTTCATATTGAGATTAGGCGAATCATCGTGTGTTGGCGTTTTATCTAATGTTTCGTCATCAGAAGCATTGTCCCCAGACGTACCGCTATCTACATCGACCAATTGACGCCAACGTTCAGCTGCTGCCACAATATTTTGTTGTCGTTTTATCGTTGGACATTTACTTTTTACTTCGGTTATTGGTAATTTAAAGTCTTGCCCCTGATGTTCTTTTCGCTGCCTATTAAAACGTGGTTCGCTATTAAAATTTTTATCTTGAGCGGATGTAACTTGATCCTTATGTAAATTAGGGGTCATATAACGAGTAGAGTCCAAATTTGTTTGAACAATATCGCGACGAACTTTAAAATAAATTTAATAATAATTTAGTAAAATTCACATTTTTTACTCTTTTGTTAATAATTAAGTTAGGACGTACAAATTGAAAAATCATCGAGGGCGCTTTCTACCACACTTTGATTCATCTTGTTTCTGCCAGTAGTGTTGACCAAATTATGCGATTCTGATTCTGTTTCCTTAAATGAAGACTGTTTGTTAGATGTTTGTGGTGATTGTGTAGAGTCCATTTTTTTTGGAGTGCGGCTGGTACGTTTCAGAGTGCGTATTACTTCTGGTGTTTTCCATGCTTTCCCGTATACTTGGGTGAGAAGTCTTTCAGCGTGAGTTAGAAAATTCACATCTGGTTCTTCTTCATCCGAATTTTCTTCGTTATTATTACTATTTACAATGGAGTCGGATGGATTTGTGCTACTTTTATGTTGCTTTTGCTCATTGCACGGTGTGTCAAATGCTTGATCTTTAGATGCCAATACGGTTGTTGTTACATTTTTACTATTTTCATTAACTCTATTACATTCTTCTTCACTATTGCTATCGTTATTGACACTTTCATCTTCCAGACTTTCCAATTGAGAAATTGAAATTTTTATATTAATCTTGGCAGAAATATTTATATTACCGATACTTATTGGCGGTGGTGATGATTGGTTCTGCTCATCTTTTGAAAATTATATTAAAATAACAAATATAATGTTAAAACATACTTTTGTGTATAAAACAACTTGCACTTACCAGTTCGATTACATTTACCGCTACTATTGCTAGTGTTGACTGAAGGAATATTCATATCTTCGCTGGACGTCTCAGATATAATAACTGAATCTTCGGGCAAATCGACGTTACTAATATGGGAAATGGAACTTTTTTCACTACACACTATCGAATTGTTTTCTTCCTCCTTTAACATAGGCGAGTTTAACTCAGTTTCTTCATGAGCTAGACGTCGGGGGTCTCCTCCAGCACTTCTTTCCCTTTCACTATGAATTGAAAATTCTTCTGTTTTTATTTTGCTCATTGATAAAGTGTCATTTTTCAAAAATGAGTCTGCCTGAACAATTGTTTTCGAAATTCTGACATATTCATCTCTATCTAGCAGGTCGCTTGCAATAGAAGTCATGGATTCTGTGGCCGCATACGCCAAATCACCATGAATTTGGTAGGCATTATTTATTTCAATATTATTTTCAGGAGTAACTGCAGCAACATATCTTAAAGAGTTAAAATTATCTTCCATAATTTTGTGATTGTCTTCTAATTCTCTGCGCTGCTGCGAAACATCTCGTAAAAATGCTTCCATCCGATCTGCTTTTTCGTTACTAAATGTATTTGGAATGAAGGCATCAGCAGAATGACTACTTTCAGGTATATCAGATGTCATAAAGTTGAAATCCGTACATTCAGAAACAGTGCTATCACTTATGGTTATGGCACTGCAACTATCGTCTGTTGATAACAATGATATACAACCAGATTTGGACACTTCAGCATTTTCAGGAATTTGGTTTTTACCTCGGGAATTTATTTTGCTTATCTGCAGTTTATGTTGTTCCAAGTCACAACTCATTCGCTGACTCTCTGTAGAAACCAATAACGTAGTTTCTTTAATAATTCCATCATTTTCAATATCTGTTAACTGCTCCGCACTCACGGCCATTTTTGAAAGGTCGTTTGTTAGTGTCGATATATTATATTCCCGTAAATACTCTGCAGTCGTGTGATTATAGTCACTCACTTGTAAAGGTTGCATATCATCGGTATTCTTCATTGATATATCATTATTTAAAGAATCATGTTCGTTTGCTTTACTTCCATTGCTATCACTAAGCAACAGGGGATTAACATAGTGAGGAATGTCGGAAATTGTGGAAGCTACTCCAATATTTCCATGTAAGTAACCATTCTCAGTGTCAAGATTTTCACTCTTCCCATCCGTTGCAGAAAATTCGGTTAAATTGGACAAAGTGGATGCAGAAGTAACACTTTTATGTACTGCGATAGTCTTGGAACTGCCAGGAGCTAGATCATCCATGATTTCTAAAAGATTGCGACTAACTCGTTTTATTGGCTCCACATCACCTGGAATGCATTCTTCACACGTTTTTAATGTGTCCTGTTGTTTCTTTTTATTTGACAGTGTAAGTTTTGCAAATCCTATAACAGAAAATATTCAGTTACTTGTCTTTTGTAAAGATGTACAGTTCACAAATCTAAATCTGAACTTACTATTTCTTATAGGTACATTGATTTTAGTGGGATCAACGCAGGTTATTAGTTTATATTTTTGTGCTCCGTCCATTTTGTTATCAAAATATCAGGTATTAACGTCGAATGTAATCACACTACACAAAACAAATTCAAATACAAAGCGTTGGTGAAAACCATTTCTGGCTTCTTCTTAAGCAGGATTGCTTTCTTTAATAATTTATCGATATCAAGAATGAATTATCCCGACCATTTACAATAATTTTGGACGGAGTGGCAGCACAACACATCGATATCAATATCGAGTCAATATTTTCATTTCGTTTGACAGCAAACTTTGCTTAGCAAAGTAATCCGGTGTATAAAAGACTTTAAGATTTATTGTCTATAAAAATTAACATTTATACATTAAAAATAGCAATTTAAATAGGAACAATGGGACGGCGTTCTATTAACACCACTAAAAGTGGGAAATATATGAATCCTACTGATCAAGCAAGTATGTATATTTTCATACAAGTTTACTTAAAGTCTCTATGGTACATTTGTACATGCTTCTAATTGTTTTCAGGAAAGGAAGCGCGTAAAAAAGAGCTGAAGAAAAATAAACGACAACGACAAATGGTCCGAGCAGCTGTCCTAAAAAATAAAGACCCGGGTCAAATATTGGAAGAAATGGAAAAAATTGATGAAATGGGTTTGTAATCTATACTTACTTTTTTCTAGTGCCTAAATTAGATACCGTTATATTATAGAGTATAATGTATTGCAACCGTCACCGTTAAATGAAAAAGTTCTTCGGGATAAGAGGAAGAAGTTGAAGGAGACTTTTGATCGTGTGATGCGTCTTTATGTGAGTTATTATTAGTTCTTACATAAAATACAAGCAAATTAAATACAACATTCAATTATAGCACAATGATGAACCCGAGCATTGGGCTGACTTAAAACGTAAAGAAGTGGAGTATGAAAAAAAACGACTCAAAAAGCAACAATATTATGAAAGTGTAAAGCATGCACAGAGTGTACAAATTGACGAAATCCCTCTACCAGCCTCAACCCAGGGTTCCAATGCTAGTTCTACGACCGCTTTAACGTTCCATGTCACCAACAGATTACCACCTCCACCAACGTCATTATCCTTGCCACCATTTGCCCCTGGGGCGCCACCTGGTATTATAAAAAAAAGTCAAGAGGCGGTATGTGATTTCTAAAAATTAAACTAAAATATTGTTTGTAATATCTATATTGTTACCTAGACTACAAAACCACCTGACAAAACTAATGATGTCAAAAAGAAAGAGCTCTTAGGTGTTCCGCCTGGACCGCCACCTATTCTTTTCCAAATGAATGACTTAGACACAGATGCCGAAGACGATGAAGTTGATGTGAAAGATTATAATCCAAAATTAAAAGCTTCAAAGTCAAAATCATTAAGTAAGCCAAATTCTTTGCAGCAACGGATGCTAGCTATCTCAGGTCAAAATATTGATGAATTTATGAAGGAAATGGAAAATGTACACAAAAAGAAAGAAAAGGAGCGAGAGGCTGCTTTGCGCGGGGATGAAGCGTCTTCGTCTGATGAAGACGAGAAACCTAAAAAATCTGAAAATTCTGACGATGACGATAGTGCACCTGCAAGTAGTCGCACTTCGGACAGTTCAGATAGTGGGGAAGTAAGTGAAGATGCTATACAATCTCCTAAAAGAAAGCGAAAGGAAACAAGTAGTCCACCAAATTTACAAGTTGCAGCTGCTACAATTCATGCATCTACATCTGTTCCTGTCACAATACCTTTGCCGCCTGTGCCCCCGCATGTCGGTCCACATCTCTCTGTTCCCGCTCCACCTATGCCTCCTGTAGCCAGTTTGGCACCATCGATGATATTGAGGCCTCCACCATTACGACCACCTGGAGCTCTGCATAACTTTGGTATACGTATGCCGCCAGGTCCACCACCTGGTCCACGGCTACATGGTTTGGGTGGTATGCCACCTAGAATGGGTATACGCATGCCTCCTGGACCTCCTCCTGGTATGCCACCTCGAATGGCACACCACCATAAAAATCAACAGCAATTGCATAAAGATCAAAGTAAAGGTGTAACTACTATAACAGCCAAACCACAGATTAGGTAAATTATCATATATTTATTTTATAAGTTGTTGCGTATGTATGTATGTGTATTTAAAATATTTTATTTTTAGGAATTTGAGTGCTGATGTTACTCGATTCGTGCCATCGACATTACGTATAAAGAGGGAGGAAACACGAAAACCTGGTACGCGAACTAAGATGATTCAAGAACCAACCATTCAAACTGCAGAAGCAAATAAGGCGGCTACAAAGGACGATGCCTATATGCAATTCATGAATGAAATGCAAGGGCTATTATAATTATTAAAATATTCCTACATAAGGGGTGTAATATATATAAAATGATATAAATTTTAATTGATTTTATGTGACATGTGTTTATTTCGTCCATTGAATCCTTAAACTCCTTGAATAGAACACACTTTAGTACAATAAGAGTGGCATCTCTATAATGGCATAGTTTCACCACTGCAGGAGAGTTGCCAAACGTTGAGCATAAGCCTAGTAAATAAAATTTTTTGTTTCGTTTGCACATTTTAACATCACAAAAACATAAAGATCTCCATTATAATAAACATTTTTCATTTAGTACATCATACGCATATAATTTTTTTATTTTATGGGTCATTAATATTTTAATTTTTCCCCACTTTTATTTTTGTTTTCATAATCACATCTGTGGTGAGTTTGAAAGTAAAATTGACATTTGGGAATATATTTATGGAAATTTAGTTTCATCTTTATTGGTATTTGCTAGAATTAAATTTTTTTGGCGAGAACCTTCAGTGTAAAAAATAAGCATATGATGCGGATGGTTGTCTATCTGACAATCGTGGCTCTTTGTTGGCAATTTAAAATGACGAGTTCACGCACATCCACTTTATGGAAGTTAAATACAGATAGTGGCAAAATAACAGGACACATTTCCGATACTCAAGGAAAGGCAGATAACACAATGCTTGAAGAGTTTAGCATACCATTGTTTGACGCTAATGCTGATGTCTATGCACAAGACGAAGTATTTTATATCATTGCGTCTACTTTGACACTGGGCGCAAGTACAGGTTCTAGATCAGGTATCACAGATGCAGACCACAGTGAGGGAAACAATGTGGGATACGGGTGGGTACGCGAATCACCTGAAAATTCTATAGACACTTTGGCAACATTATCAAAACGGTGCAATGAAAGTGATGCTGAAAAACAAGAATCTAACGGCACGGAAGTAGAAAACAAAAAATCTTCATCCATTACGGGTACTTCCGATACACCAACTGTAACTAATGTTGATACTGCCTTGGTAGCTGATGAATCTTTGGATTGTAAACCAGTGAATTTTACATACTACGATTATCTTATTGGAGTGGGACAAAGATTCAATCATCCCAAGATACCAGAGCCAGAGGTTAATAATATTGTATTTATCACTCACACATACATATATTAATTAAATTTGTTCTATGTGTTTTGCTAATCTTTAAATTAGGTTGCTTATCTTTTTCTGAAAATTAAAGATGAGAACTCTTTTAAAAATTTCGATATATCAGCTTTGGAACGGCGTCTCAAAAGAACAAAGCGTGAAAAGCCTAGATCAGTGCAACTGTATAATCAAATTGGGAATTACTGGCGTATTGTGGGTGACGCGCGTCAAGCAATTGAATGCTTTAGACGAGCTCTAGCAATGTCTCCAACAAATGCCGAAGTTCTCTTGAATTTGGCGCGCGTACTTTACAATCTTCAATATCTTGACGATGCTATACACTTGACAAGAAGGTACGAGTCAAAATTGTGTGCTAATTGTTTAACAAACAAGTGTCGGTTAGCAAAAAAATCAGCCAACTTAAATTTTATTTATATGTTTTTCACCAAATTAAGAACTATAATATTAACACATCTAGTGTTTTTACGTCTTAGTAGACTAGATGCAATTTAAATACGTCCAGTAAAGACAGAAATTAACATATATATCTTTTTTACAGGTCTTTAGAAATGCAACCACCTGGACGGTCTGCTTGGCAGCAATATTTCACACTTGGAGAAATTTTTAAAGCTTATGGACATTTTCAAGAATCAATTTTGCATTTGCGACATGCACTTGAACTCTATCCCCAGCACGAACCCATATTGAAGGCCCTACGGGATGTGGAGAATAATCCTTCATCAACATTGCATGTGTACACAGTTGTCATAATCGTTGCCTTGGTAAGTGACATATTCATATATTGCATACATATTCAAAATATTTGTTTACAGACTTATAAATTAAATATTTATACAATTAAGTCATCATGTAGATGTCAAAATACTATATTATACATAATTTTACAGGTCGTTGCTGTTTTTATTGTAATCATAACATCATCTAACAACAGTGATAAATATAATGGTTTAAATAGCGGCCATACTCAAAGTGATTATGAGCCTAAAACGCAACGGCATTTCAACCGCGCCATGGCTATGCGCTCACTCAAGGGATTTTCCTCTTCCTCAACTTTTACGGGTTCATCATCACGGAACCTTAGACACAGAAAAAATTGAGCCTCCCAAAGTAGAAGTGGATAATTTGCCACAACACTATCTATCTACGTCCACGCCCATGCTTACACAAATAAAAATTGCTTAAATAGCACAATTGCTTATACACATATACACGTGAACACACAAGTTCACACGAAAATACAAATCAGGAATACCATTGGATAAGAGGAAATGTTGGGCTTAGCGATATATCGGTGATTCGATAGATCGATTAAACGAAATGCCAAAAATGCACGGATCTCAAGAAGATAGGTGACCCATTTACTTAGTTATTTTGTTATATGTAGATTTACGACCTAAACTACATTCGGTTTAAGAAAAGTATATTTGAAAATTATCACAATACTTTTATTTTAAATAATATTAAAAAAAATTCATGTAATAAGCCAAATTAACTTGTTATAAAATTACATTTTTTTGTTCCTTCTGTTCATATTTGTTTAAATATGGATATTGTATATGCCATTGTACTTATATTTGTCATTAATTTTAAGTTTTTTTTTTTTTTTTGTGAGAAATTCTTTAAATTTCTGTGATAACTTTGAAATATTAAATTCATTATTTAAACGTTCGGTGTACTTGTTCTGAACTAACTGTTTATTTGATCTATGGAAATTAATTTCTACCTATGGTACTTAAAACATTTAGGAATAATTATAACTATTATAAACCTATTTATTCAAGTAACGAAAAAATTAAACACTTAAATTAACCCTCACGGCCATTAAATGCTCTACAATTTGTTTATCCTTAATTTATGTACATTTTATGTAGTTATTATTTGTTATTCGATATTTGAATGTATACATTTATATTTCATTTTGAAATAATTTGTTTGCCATGAGAATATATTTGTATGTATTTTTTAAGACCTGAATTGTCATTGAATACTCTGTAACTTGGGTAGTAGAACGGCATTTGATATATCGAGTTCATACAGTAAGTTCAATAAGCGTGTATTCTTAAGACATAATCATAAGGATTATTTATTTAAAACTGGTACTGCTAAAACCTATTTAGGAAAATTTCAATTAAATATATATATAATAAATAATTTTCTGAGACTAAAAATGTAAGAATTACATTTTATTTTGTTTATTATATATTAAAACTATGAACTCATATGCAATTATATTAATATCATTATTCAGTTTTATAAACATCGAAAGTGTACAGTGCTTGGATTTATATGTCGTAATAAACATTAGTCAACTCTTTTCTTCTCTTTATTTGTAAAAGTTTTGTATTGAACTGCCTCAAGCACTCATTAAAAAATCTGAACGTACTTGCTTTTTTAATAATTCGCCGAAAATTATTTTTTTTCTGCCACCATCAAGACATTCATTTATCTGCCTTAATACATCCAATTCATTGACAATTTCATTTTTAATATTAAGAAAAGTTTCATCACTTGTTTCCTTCTTTTCAATAAAATAGTCTATATTCTTTATGCTGCAATTAAGCATAGTAAGCTCTTTTAGTAATATGCATATACAATTAAGAGCATTTTCGTTATTATGTAAATAAACTTTCCATGTTTTATTATGATCTTCACTTTCATCTGTTTGTGATACTTCTAAAGCCATCGATCCAAACCATATTGACGTGCAAAGCTTATTGAAATATACACACGAAATATAGTTTTTTTTGTTATGTAAATCTTTATCTCCTACAAACTCATGGTTATTAACATCATTTTGTACACAATCATTAAAAATTGTATTTCTTTTGATAATATCGAAGTTGAACTTCTTAGCCATTAATTGCTCAAATAAAAATACATCTTTCTTTGATTCGAATTGGATATGTAGTGTGGACTCTTTGTTAATCATTGCCATAGCCAAAAAGTCCTGATGAAAAGTTGAATTCTCAAATGAAAGATTATACTTATGTCGGTTCGTAATTATGTTGTTAATATTTAAATTCTTCAAAAAGAGATGTTGTTCATAAGTTCTTGTTTTTACCGGTTGATTCATTTTATGTGAATGTTCCTTTTCCACTTCAAAATGTAATAGTAAAGGACACTCTTCTACTAAAAATAATTGGGAAGTTTGTATGGCAATCAAAAGTACAGCAAAGGATGAAGGCAGCACTCGATTCAACTCACATTTCGACCAAATTGGTGTTGTTTGTAATTCCTCATCTTCGGTTTGAAAAAAAGTTTCCAAAGTTTCTAAATTTTCAAAATTTTGTTTCAATTGGTATATGCGATATTTATATATAATATTGTCTACACAAGTATCCTTCATCTTAAAAATTGGTTTTAGGTTTTTGGTTATTATTAGGCTACTTAAGGAGCAATTGTTGAGCAGTGGTACACCAAGAACCATTATATTGTTCGAAACATATCTTAACCAAATGTCACCACATCTGGCAATAAACGGCTTTTCTTCTAACTGGTCGCTACGAATATAGTTACAACCAAATGTTTGGAAATCACGCAAAGTGTCAAACTCTTTTTGTGTAGTTGATTTATACAATTGTAGTTCCGCTTTGGCACATCTTACTTGCTCCAACAGCTGCTTTATATTTCTTCTATCGTTACCACCGTTGCTAAGAGAACAGCGATTAATATTTTCATTTTCTTGAAAATTTGTGTATATCATGTCACCATTTTCAAATTTTATTTCTAATATAGCATCGAATTTTTCTTTACCATGTATGATACGGTGTTTATGAACACTTTCGAACTGCACGACAAAAACGAAGTCGGGCAAGGCAATAGCCAACAATTTATCCCAAAGATGTATTAACAAATATAATTTACAAATTTCAAAATTTGTATAAACAAACTTTCCAAATGATATTTTCAGATCAGTCGTAATGTGCCCTTCGCCACATATTGAGGTCTGCTGTTCTGAGGTTTCCGATAAAGTCTTTAAGTCCATTAAGCTACTATGTGAGTCTTCGTTCCGAAACTTAAACCATTTACTTTTTGGACCTTTATAGTCACACAAGTTTGGAGCAACATTTTTTAAACAAGTTTCCGACAAATCTATACTGTTGACAAGTTGTTTCTGGTAAAATTGGTAACATTTCAAATTGCGCGCCAGAACTACTAAGCTTCGCTTTCGGTTGACCCATAATTTATCACAAAATACAAGTTCCTCCCCAAGGAAATCTGGAACTTCATTTTGTATAAGTTTTTCTGATAAAGTCATAAAGGAATATTCGAATACACAATAAATTCTCAATTTTAAGAAAATTCTAAGAAAACAAAATTTTGGTAATTATATTCTAATAAATTCAATGAATGAAATAAATCAGAAGATAGCACTAAAATCTCCAATTCACAATGACACTACTTAACCATTTATTATCATAATTATATTATAATATTACATAAAGTAAATAAGTAAATGATAATAATTTTATTATATTCAATCTCAACATTATTATTTTATATTTGCAAAAAATTTGATATTGTTATAATAAATAAATAAATAAATTTTTTAGTAGTATAATATATGCCGATAAATACTTAAAAGAGGTAAGAAAAATATCGATAATTGCCAGTTTCGTATATGGTAACAATTGATTTCAATATTGACGTTTGAATTGAAGAATGGGATTTTTACAAAGTTTTTAGTTGTTGGAAATTTCTGAAAATATTAAATAAATTCTAATAATAATAGTAGTAATAACAAAATGGAACCAATGACATTAGGAAGTCCTGGCGGTAGTCCAGCTGCAAACAGTCCTTACTTACCAGCTTTTCTTATGGGAGATAATCAAATTCCAACAACACCGCGCAACACGCTTTCGCCAAACAAAGGTGCCAGAAATATATCCTTTGGTATGAGTTAATTTCCAGTTCTAAAATATACATTTTTTATACATAATTGTTTTCTCATATAGTAACGTCACCCATATCAAATTCGCCGGCTTCTAGTGCACTTAATGAACACAACCGTTTCGCAGTTGGACAAAAACACCTATTTAATAGCTCCGTTCCTACCAACTATTCGGGTTCTCAAGGTCCGCCCACACAAGGATTATTCGACTCTTTACGTAGTGAGCGCAATCTCGTGGAAACACCCACACGTGGCATAGAAGCACAGTCTCCAATAGGTTTCGGAACTCCTATATCTTTTCAACATAATTCAAGTACTTTCGGTGGAAATTTGGGTTTCCAACAGCAGCATATGCTTCAACAACAACAGCAATTTCCGCTACAACCAACAACTCAATATAGTGACGCATCTTACCTGGCTAATACCTCATATAATACCCCTCGCTGCATCAGCTCACCTCTTGGACCTCTTGCTACCCCTAATTCAAATAATGTTATTAATAATACGTCATATATGACCCAATGCCCGCCAATGCCGCGGTACACGGAATTTTGGGTTACTGTTTATGGTTTCCCGCCAAGCGCCATTTCAACTATTTTGCAGCACTTTGCGCAATGCGGCACCATTGTTGATAAAGTGTTTCCACCCCAAAATGGTAATTGGGTACATCTTAAATATGCATCACGCCTGGAATGCGATAAAGCCCTCAATTATAATGAAAAAATTTTAGGCAATAATATTATGATAGGCGTTACACAATGCAAGGATAAAAATATAATCGACAAAGAGAATGTGTCCGAGAATAATACGTAAGTCATAAAAGTAATATATCTTAAATAAATTACAGCTTTGAACTTTTCATGAATATAATTGTAGGCAATCATGTAAGGTACGCCCGTTGGCTCAAACTGCATATAAAACTGCCCAAAATGAGTCAGCTGTCGATAATAATGCGAACCTCCCACAAAAGAGTTCGGGTTTGATGAACAAAGCACTGGATCTGTTTTTTGGTTGGTAAAGTAAATCAGTTTTAAATCGATTACATTTTCAAATCAAAATAAGGTTTTATTTGCTCAGTTCTAAATAAGAAAAAATATATATTCGTTAATCAAATAATATTGCTTTTGTACTGTTTCTCACAATAAATTTTTAAAGTATTTTTCAGTAAATAAAAAATGAGTTTACATATGAATCCAATACAGCCAGACTAGCATGGAGAAAACAAATGCAATAAACTGTTGAGTTTTACATTTGTGAATTTATTTATTTCGTAGAGAATGTACACACGATTACATATACATATCTTAATATTAATATTTCTTACTAAGAAAGCAAACGCCAGCTAATAAACCTTAAAAACACTTTGCTTCTGGTTATTTCCAATTTATAAAGGATCAATCTTCCATAAACTAACGCAATACACTTTTCCATTGAACTATTTGGGTTTCTCAATGAAAGCTGTTTCCAGTTTAGACATTTTTGGATAATGAACATCCCGAATGTCTAGTTTCGATTGCGCCCAAAGGATTAATTTTAGTAAGAACATTACTTTAGGTGTAGAATCAGTGCTATGTTCGCACTTAAGTATGGCTGCATTCAGTTCACTGGCAATCTGTAAAAATTTTATAATATATTTGATAGAATTTGAATAACAGTATTACCTTTTGCCTATGTGACTGTTCTAATAAATCAGAAAAAGGGCTATTTTGTGGTTTCTCGAAAGCTAACAGGGCTAAAGTTCGTTCAAGTTCGTTAAGTGCTTCAGGAATATCCTCTCCTGCTTCGGATAATTTATTTTGAGCAAATGTTAAAGCTTCCTCAATTTTTCCAGCGCTGCAAAATAGGGTTTCAATTAAAGGGAAATATTCGCGTATAATTTTAGCCAAATAAGCCATACCGAATTAATTCAATAAGTTGCAACTGTTGTAGGTGAAAGAATAAATAACGGTCGTTGTCTAGCAACTCGGGATGCAATTGGTTAACGAGATGTGTAGCTTCCTGTATGCGGCCACTTTGAACTGCTTCTCGTATAAGTATACGGTCATCTAATGAACTTAATTCAATACTCGGTTCAAGTCCAGCTTCTAATTGAAATTTTTCTGCAGCCTCCTTGAATCCCTCTAAAAGAGAAAAAGTTATAGTTTAAGAGCAGTTCAGTTATAAAAATATAATTTTAAATCATTTTACCAGTAACTAAATAATTCATAATTAATCGATTCATATCGCTTTGCTTATATGGAAATTGTTCCAATTTTCGCATCCAATCTTCCTTTGTTATACTATCACACTTTTCGTTGTAGCTCATTTTTTTATTCCTCCTTATTTTGCCAATTTTGAGGCCGTTTTAAAAATACCAAACACCGAAATAGATTTTTTAATATGTATAGTTATGAATGTTTGATATGTTCTGATTTATATTTATAATTTTCTTTTTGAAAATTTCGATTCATCAAAAATATACAACTTTTACTTGTTAAGATTTCCCAAGCTGGAGCGATTTTAATTGTATTTTGCTTTGCTCATGCTATTCGTACATTTGGTATGTTCAGAAATGAGACAAGAAAACTTCTACTATAAACCCTTGTCGGTCTCCGAAAGTTTTTATGAATTTATTGTTTCAGATTCGAATTATTTTTATTATTTAATGATCATACACAAGTAATACCATACGACGAAGCTGATGAGAATTGCGTTTTATTTTTTATAATTAATAAAGCAGAAGTAAAAAATCAGAAGATAGTTAAATAACAAACAGGTATCAGTCTTTTTATTGTAGTTATTTTATACCACATTTTAGATGTGCATTGAACATACACTGCAGAGAATTGTGGATAAGACATGAGGATTAAAATGACACTTTGACTCATTGTACGAACAAAAGAAATTAAATAAGAACAAAAAAACTAGATTTAACTTCACTGTGAATAATTTTGTACTGTGCTGCTGAATTAAAAGATAAGGTTTTGCGAAAAATTAATATTTGCAAAAATAAAAAAGCTTCGGTCGCACAGGTTGTCAATCTTTATAAAATAAAAAAATTTCCAACGTTTAAAATAGAAACAAAATAACAAACATTAAAGATAATGGCAAAGAAAACGTACGATTTACTTTTTAAGTTGTTGCTGATCGGCGACTCAGGAGTTGGAAAAACTTGCATACTTTTTCGTTTCTCAGACGACGCATTCACCTCCACTTTCATTTCGACTATTGGTAAGTTAAAATTTTATAATAACACAGTCTGTAGATAATATTGTATATGGAGAAGAACGACATATACTAACATGGGCGTGGCAGAGCCTGGTGCAGTGCGCTATTGTTATAAACTTGAGTAACCTTATACCCCAATACTCTGCATTCCAGAGTTATTAGCTTGTTAACCAAAGATAACTGTTGTCTCATTTAGTAAATGTACGTACATATATGTGTTTTATATTTATAAAGTAACCCGGCAAACATTCTCTTTGTTTACATACGGATTCATATTTTTATAAATATTATATATATATATAATGTTTTTGTACAAACCTAGTATGTTTTGCAATAAAATGATGTAGTAAATAACATATTTATGTATATCCGAATTTATCTTAAAAGAACCCAAAACATTATATAAATAAAACAGTTTCACACTGCTAAATGCATATTCCATTAAATGTATTTTTCAACAACTCAATACTCTTTCAAAAAATTTGATATTGTAAATAATTTATTATATAAATTGTGTAATTAAAGGAATTGACTTTAAAATCAAAACAGTCGAACTGAGAGGAAAAAAAATTAAACTCCAAATATGGGACACAGCCGGCCAAGAACGTTTCCACACAATCACGACATCCTACTATCGTGGTGCTATGGGCATAATGCTGGTATATGATATAACAAATGAGAAGAGTTTCGAAAATATAGTAAAATGGTTACGAAATATAGATGAGGTAAGTAAAAGTGTGTGTTCTTATGCAAACAAATGCACATATACATGTATCTGTGGCATACGAATACGTACAAATGTACAATTGCTTAAGTATCACTAACAAAACATTAAATAAATGTTTGCACAACTCGTAAGGATAGAGGGGTCATTATTGTGGCTACTTATGTATATGTCCTAAAATTTAATTTGATGAAGTCATTTGCACAATAATACCGTAGCAATTAAGAAAGTGCGAACGACGTAAACATACATATAACCTAACTATATATTTAGAAATTCATGTTTAAAATTCTATTCGTTGCAATGTTACAATTTAGTCTCTTTTTACACATGCTATACATAATTCGTTATAAGCCAAGTTAAAATTCCTGATAATTACTTTTGCTTACATATGAAAAATTGTATGATGTTTTTCGAAACATTGTTATCGCCTAACTTAATTTTTCATGATAAGCGATTAAGATCCAAATTGATTGACTAATAATTAACAACTAGTTTTTAATTGTGATGCACAAACTTAGTAATAAATGGCAATATCTATTAAAAAATATATAAAAGATTAGATGATAGTTATTCAAGACTAAGATAGAATTAATATTGTCAAAATATTTGAGTTAGAATATAAAAAATTATCTTAAACACACAAAACATTCCAATATGGTTTATAATTGCCTAAGAATGTACATATATACATACAGATATATGTACATATATGTTTAAAAGCCTATTGCTTTTCATAAAATGTTAAAGATAAAACCGTTTGTTTATGCAGTGGACGCTTTTTTATGAGAACGTGACCTTGTTTACTTTGATAATACTTGAATTTCCTTTTTAGTTTCATTATTTTACTATTTTACACATATTATTATATATATGTATAATGTTACGTTTTTTATATATAGCATGCGAATGAAGATGTTGAAAAAATGATTCTGGGCAATAAATGCGATATGACAGACAAGCGTGTGGTGAGCAAAGAACGCGGAGAAGCGGTATGTTAGAATAATTTATAAATATTTTTAGATATAATTTATAACCATTTATTGGGTTTGTTACAGATTGCCGTGGAACATAGCATCCGATTTATGGAAACATCTGCCAAATCTAATATCAATATCGAACGAGCATTTTGCGAGTTGGCTGAAGCTATTTTAGATAAAACTTCTGGTAGGGAGGCTGCAGAAAATCTCGATCGCCTGGTTGTTGATCGTCGAAATAATGAAAAGGCGCCTGCTTATAAAAGTTGTTGTTCTTAAGTTTGCTTAATACAACTGGCCACGCCACTAACAGCACCACCACCAATTACCACTTTTACATCCTTATTGATACTACAAAATAACAAACCAGAGGCAAAGAATCAATGCAAATCATTAGAATATAGTATTGCCTATAACAAAAATAAGATACTATCATTTTTTTACGTAATGAGAAAATAATTAATCATCAACAGCTACTCAATTCACTACTAATTACTATGTGTATTGTAATTTTACGATAAGAGGGAAATAATTGAAATATTTGTAAAAAGTGAGAAAAGTTAAATGCAATTGCTTCTGCAGTGATTTACATATTTAGGTTATCTTATATGCTTACTCGCTTCTAAAAGAAAATTTGAAAGAAAAAAGTAAAGAATTTTAAAAAACTTTAAATTCAAATATATGTACATGTTAGTTGTAATATTTTGGCAAAATAATTTGGTTGGAATTTGATATTTTTGTCCTATTTCTACATTACACAGTTCACTTTCTTATACAAGAAGCTTTGTGTCATTAATTAAAAATTCAATTATAAAATGTGCTCACATTCATATGTTCTATTAAAAATTTGTATGCTGGAAATGGCAGTGGTATTGTGGAATCTAGGAAATTATATAGGCTTGATCTATATAGTATGAACATATTTTTTTATAGAAGCGATGCAAATCGTGACATACCGGTTCAAGTTATTTAAAATCCATTCGGTCGATAGTCGGAGGCCGATTTTTATCTGGGAAGAGACTATCTACATGACAGTATTCCTTAGGTGTTTCATAATAATTCTGGCACTACATCCAACACACGCCTCAAAAAAATTACCACATATAATAAATTTTAAAAATTTTAATAACATTAAACTCAATTAACTTTAGCTAAGAGAAAATTTTACTTGTTTCTTTAATCGATTTCTTTATTTGTTCAAATCTGAAGATGTATTTATTAGCTTAAAAATTACATTACAATTTCGCCTACTTGGTGGCAGTTCATCTTTGTTTATTGAATTTTTTTGTCATCTGCTTTACCACTCTTTGCAGAGACTGCATTATTTTCTTCCTTGAAGTGTAAAAACACAAATGAAAAGATAAAAACGCCAATCATCATGGAGAAAGCACTGCTGTAGTAGGGGTATGCACTAGGAATGAATCGTTCATATTCTGTATGTTCCAGAGGGCGAACAGATACTTGGGTGGTATTGTATAGGTGCGTGTAACCAACTCGATCGTAGTTTATCTTGAATTGATACACTCCGTACACGTCAGGTATCTTAAATCTAGCTTCATAGCGTCCACCGTTTACTTGCTTCAGTGTAGTACGTATGAATGGATCGATTCGAACAAATTCCAACTGCACATCATTTGCTTTGAACGGTTGCCACTTTTCCTCCACCAATTCTTCTATTGATATAGTATATACAACTGGATCGACAATTGTGTAAGCTTGTTCTGGCGGTAGAGACTCTCCTTCCTTGTGGTGGTTCACTCTAGCAACACGTAAACGTCCACTTTCGCCGAATGCCCATCTACTGATTGCTGTGGCTACGCCTTGATTACTTGCTTGTTTGTTTATTGTTCCATCTCGTGCATTTTGGACAGGTGCTGTAAAAGCTTCATCAGAAAAGAAGTGTAGAGATCCAGAAAATACAACTCGAGCATTATTACGAGCTTGCAAAGCAGCAATAAGCAAAGTCTCCCGTCCCACTGCGTGTGGGTATTCTTTTACAGTCTGTTCAGGATTATAACTGTACGCTGTACTTTCTGCAGACAACAAATGTAATACTAGCGGATTTTCTTTATCTGCCAATAACCCAGTTCCTCGATAAATTAAGGGAGCAGACTTCTTGGCACCAACAATAATTGGAGCATCGATGAGGTTTCGTGCTGAAGTCAATATAGTAGTGTGATCCCCAACATCAGAAACATCATAATTTAAATGATCTATAACAGAAGCTCCTTCCTCATCAACTTCAAATCCACATTCTGAAGCGAATTCACGCAAAGCATCACCCGATTGCTCGCTAGCAGCAACTAAAACGTTACCACCATCGTCAACGAATTCCGTCAACTTTTCAACGCTCAGATCTCCTCCGAACTCCTCAACACTGGGTGCAAATATAATAACATTTTTGTAAAGATATTCTCCATATCGTGAAAGCACTAGCCCAGAGTCGTCAGCCAATTTATAAACAAGTTTAAATCCCCGTTCTGTTGAACAATAATATTTCATTTATAATTGACCACGTCACTTCAGATCACTGATAGTAACTTACCTTGCAACGATTTAAAGAAAATTGAATGGGTTTCTCGAATTGCTAAATTATCTAACAAAACCAATGTATTAGCATCGGACTCCAACACAGCGTTTGAAGTTTGTAGAAATACGCAAATAAATACAAAGTACTTCCACATTTTCCTTAAATTTACAATAACCAGAGAATGTTTGAACAAATATCCAATGTGAAAAAGTTATACGCCCGACAGAGAATTACCAAACACTTGTGAGAAAAGAAATTTTACCGGCTACCGAGTTGCCAAGTATTATTTGCTTTACATGGTTGCAATGCAATTAACGTAAATTAGATATAGCTATATTTAGATTTGTTTAATTTAGTTAATCTACTGGACTGTGATTTTTAAGAATATTGTTGTTTATTTGTATAAAAATTTGCTTAATAGACAACATTTCTTTTTCTTCTAATAATTACAATATAATTTTCCTTCATTGCTACATTTCTCGTTTCGCAGTTTAATTTCATTAGTAAATTATTATATAATTTTTAATCATTATAAAATATTAGAGTATTAAAGATTAGTATATATCGTCTCTACAATCAAATTGTAAAGTTGATGTGTATATATCTTCAAATCATTTTTATTTAATTAATTTAATTTTGACTTCACAGAGAAAATAAAACATATGGCAACGTGTTTATTATAGTTTTGACATTTAATTAATTTAGTAGCTAGCGCTTATTTTTCGCTCTACGTATAGTGAACGTTGAAAAATATGGAAAATATTCCGCGAACACACGAAGGTAAACTTCTTTTTATTAAATATTCGAAATTATAAATCAGTAAACCATAAGTGTAATTTTGTAATTCACATACCACGTAGGGAAAGATTGTATTTGTGAGGTCTAAATCAGGGATCGATTCACCTCGTTTTTGTCATATTGATTTACCTTTTGCAATAAGAAGAAAAGTTACACAGAATTCAATAAATTTCTTTATTTATTTTCTCTTTCTAGATATTGAGGCTCAAATTGCCGATATTCAAACCAAGAAAAAGGAAATTCAAAAAAATTCATCGACTGGAGTTGGCTTATTGGACAGTGGTGGATTTTATGATACAGAATTATATGATGAAGGCGGCGGAAAAGGAAAGAATCGTTATGAGGGCTATAACACTTCAATTGCAGCAAATGACGAAATGGATGAAGACGAAGATGATGGATTCCCGGTACCCCAAAAGCGTACAACTTATACGGCACCCATATCCGTTTTAAAAGATGTCACTCAGGGTAAGGAAGATGTTGATCCAATGGCGGATAGACGTCGACCAACCATAGCAGATAGAGAGGATGAATATAGGCAAAAAAGACGTCGTATTATTATATCTCCTGAGCGTGCTGATCCCTTTGCTGATGGTAAATAATTGTTTAATTAAAATGATCACTTATTAATATCTATCTCAGGTGGAAAGACTCCTGATATTGGATCCAGAACATATCCCGATATAATGCGTGAGCAAATGCTGAAAGGAGAGGAAAGTGAGGTGAGTAGCTTAGTTCATATTACGGAAGTAAAAATTAATTTGGTTTTTATTACATGCAGCTTCGCAGAAAAATACAAGAGAAATCTAAGGAAGGCACATTGGTAAAAACTTCGAATGGGGAGGCGACTAAAGAACCGACAACGCGTAAGCGAGGACGTTGGGATCAAACAGTTAGCGAAAGTTTTGTACCTGCAAAGGTATCTGCAACACCTAATAGTGCAGCAACGCCTAATTGGGAAGATGTAAGACTAATTATTTTAAAATTTTATAAACATTAATTCCATTTATCTTTTTTTTTTTTTTTAGAAAACACCAGGTGATCATCGATGGGATGAAACACCTGGCCATAAAGGTAGTGAAACACCTGGGGCCACGCCAGGTTTGGGGACACGAATTTGGGATGCGACTCCGGCACATCCAACGACGCCGAGCCATGAGACACCTGGTCAAGAAAAATCAGCTCGTCGTAATCGTTGGGATGAAACTCCTAAGACGGAACGTGAAACTCCCGGTCACAGTGGTTGGGCTGAGACCCCAAAACCAGACCGCGGTACAAGTGATAATGTTGTTGCTGAATCAACACCAGGTGCTTCAAAAAGAAGATCACGTTGGGATGAAACTCCATCAAATGCGACACCGTCAATGACACCCTCTTCTGCAATGACGCCTAGCCTTACACCAAGTATGACTCCACATACCACGCCAGGTCACGTCACACCACTCTTAACACCAGGTGGTACCACACCAATTGGAGTAAAGGCAATGGCCATGGCAACTCCAACTCCGGGCGCATTAGCCGCAATGACACCAGAGCAACTTCAGGCATACCGTTGGGAAAAAGAAATTGATGAACGCAATCGGCCACTAACAGATGAGGAACTCGATCAAATGTTTCCACCTGGGTATAAAATATTACCACCGCCTGCTGGTTATGTGCCATTACGCACACCTGGGCGCAAGTTAATGGCCACACCCACACCAATTGCTGGTACCCCTGCTGGATTTTTTATTCAAGTCGAAGATAAAAATGCCAAATTTATGGACAACCAACCAAAAGGACAAAACTTACCATTTATGAAACCAGAAGATGCTCAATATTTCGATAAACTGCTTGTGGACGTAGACGAAGACAGTCTTTCTCCAGAAGAAGCTAAAGAGCGAAAAATAATGAAGTTGCTTTTAACTATTAAAAATGGTTCACCTCCAATGCGTAAATCATCACTTCGACAAATAACAGACAAGGCACGTGAATTTGGAGCTGGACCACTATTTAATCAAATTCTTCCGCTACTTATGTCTCCAACGCTTGAAGATCAAGAACGACATTTACTTGTAAAAGTTATCGATCGTGTCCTATATAAGTTAGATGATTTAGTGCGTCCTTATGTACATAAAATTCTTGTCGTTATTGAGCCATTGCTAATTGATGAAGATTACTATGCCCGTGTAGAAGGCCGAGAAATAATTTCGAATCTAGCTAAAGCGGCAGGCCTTGCCACTATGATTTCGACAATGCGTCCTGATATCGACAACATCGATGAATATGTCCGTAATACAACGGCACGAGCATTCGCCGTTGTGGCGTCGGCGTTAGGTATTCCATCCTTACTACCGTTTCTCAAAGCCGTGTGTAAGTCGAAAAAGTCATGGCAAGCTCGTCATACCGGTATAAAAATCGTGCAACAAATTGCCATATTAATGGGCTGTGCTATTTTACCGCATTTAAAAGCTTTAGTGGAAATTATCGAACATGGATTAGTGGATGAACAACAAAAAGTGCGAACAATCACAGCCTTGGCCATTGCTGCATTGGCTGAAGCAGCTACGCCTTATGGCATTGAATCTTTTGATTCCGTTTTGAAGCCTTTATGGAAGGGTATTCGTACACATCGTGGTAAAGGTTTAGCTGCGTTTTTAAAAGCTATTGGTTACTTAATTCCATTAATGGATGCCGAGTATGCCAATTATTATACCCGTGAAGTGATGTTGATTTTGATTCGTGAATTTCAATCACCAGATGAAGAAATGAAAAAGATCGTATTGAAGGTAGTAAAACAATGTTGCGCTACTGACGGTGTGGAAGCACAATATATTAAAGAAGAGATTTTGCCACACTTCTTTAAGTTCTTTTGGAATCACCGAATGGCTTTGGATCGTCGCAATTATAGGCAGTTGGTAGACACCACGGTAGAAATTGCCAATAAAGTTGGCGCTTCTGAAATCATTAATCGAGTTGTTGATGATTTAAAGGATGAAAACGAACAGTACCGGAAAATGGTAATGGAAACCATAGAGAAGATTATGGGCAATCTAGGAGCTGCAGACATTGATTCACGTTTAGAGGAACAACTTATTGATGGTATACTATATGCTTTTCAAGAACAAACCACCGAAGACGTGGTCATGTTGAATGGTTTTGGTACAATTGTTAATCAGCTAGGCAAACGAGTTAAACCATATTTACCACAAATTTGTGGAACAATTCTTTGGCGTTTAAATAATAAGTCTGCGAAAGTGCGTCAACAAGCAGCAGATTTAATATCCCGCATTGCCATAGTTATGAAGACTTGTCAAGAAGAAAAATTAATGGGACATTTAGGTGTTGTATTATACGAGTATTTGGGAGAGGAATACCCAGAGGTTTTGGGGAGTATTTTGGGTGCGCTTAAGGCAATCGTTAATGTTATTGGTATGACTAAAATGACACCGCCCATTAAAGATTTACTACCACGACTGACACCTATCCTTAAGAATCGTCATGAGAAAGTACAAGAGAACTGTATTGATTTAGTCGGAAGAATTGCGGATCGTGGACCAGAATACGTTTCAGCGCGTGAATGGATGCGTATATGCTTTGAGTTACTTGAACTTCTTAAAGCGCATAAAAAAGCTATTCGTCGCGCTACAGTGAACACATTTGGTTATATAGCTAAAGCAATCGGTCCACATGATGTCCTCGCAACTTTGTTGAATAATTTGAAAGTACAAGAACGACAGAATCGTGTATGTACTACAGTAGCTATTGCTATAGTGGCTGAAACTTGTCGACCCTTTACAGTACTCCCTGCATTAATGAATGAGTACCGCGTCCCAGAACTGAACGTGCAAAATGGAGTACTCAAATCACTTTCTTTTCTCTTTGAGTACATAGGTGAAATGGGAAAAGACTACATTTATGCCGTATGTCCCTTGTTGGAAGACGCATTAATGGACCGCGATTTAGTACATCGACAAACTGCTTGTGCTGCTATTAAACATATGGCACTTGGCGTTTATGGTTTTGGATGTGAGGATGCATTGATTCATTTGCTGAATTACGTTTGGCCAAATATTTTTGAAACATCACCTCATTTAGTTCAGGCATTTATGGATGCTGTTGATGGCCTTCGTGTTTCACTCGGTCCTATAAAAATTTTGCAGTATACACTCCAGGGACTATTTCATCCGGCTCGTAAAGTCCGAGATGTGTATTGGAAAATTTACAACTCTCTTTACATTGGTGGACAAGACGCATTAATAGCTGGTTATCCAAGGATTACTAACGATCCAAAGAATCAATATGAACGATATGAGCTGGACTATATGCTTTAAAGTGCGTCTATATAGCTGGGGAAACATTTTCTACAATACAAAAACTACAACTGTAGCCGTACAATGGTTTTTTTTTTTTTTAGATGTAACAATAATTCCGAAACAATTATATATAGAAATAATTTTATTTCAACTAAAA